ATAGTCACTGATGACATATCTGTATATTCTTACGCATATGTGCACCCATGTGAATACAACGGATGGTATGGAAATGGCCTCATCTTCTTATTGATTTTCAAACAGTCTCTACGGATGATTCTCCACAAAATACTCAAAGCAGTATTATGTGTACTGCAGCAAACCAACATATTCTATGAATAAACAATGGACAAATTGCATGAGTACAGTTTTGAAAACTGTAAGATAGCATGGGCATAAAGTCTTTTGCTGGGCTCTCAAAAATAAAATAAAACTTTTATTACAGTGTCTTTTATAAATTATTTGAGAACAGGGACTATTTTATACATCTTTATACCCCTCCCTGTGTCTAGACCCTAGCTGCTCAATAAACATTTGTGATGTGACTATAAATTTTCATCCCAATAAAGTCATTGATTTCATGGTGTCTGGAAGCTAAGCCATATGACTGTGACAAGTTAATGCTACGAAAGCTTCAGCTAACAATGATCTAATTGAAAAACCAAAGAGACCTGATCGGTGCTAGCAAATTTTCAGACTATTCTTTTGTAGACCTGACAAAGATTTAACAGAGAAAATTTAACACAGGAAAAGTAAAAGCTGAGATATATTTATAAATCATATTGGGCCCAGCCCTAATAACCATCATAACAAATGGAATCTTAAGAATAAGCTGTTTTAGATAAGTATCCTAAACATCTCTAACCTTTTCGAACACCATGGTTGTTTCAAAAAATTGCTAACATCTATGGTTTTCAATAGCCAGTCACTCACATGAATATGAAAGCAAAAGTGAATTTTGCAGCTATGTCATCCAAATGCTGACAGATGGGTTCATTGTTTTCATTGTAGACAGTGTAAAACTTTGAGTCATGTGAGGGACACTGTAGAACTTCTTACATGACATTACATTGACCTTAAAGTATAAGCTTTGCAAATATGGTTTTATTTTTTCTATACGAAACTATGGGATTACTTGAAAAGGCAGCACATTCAGCTGTAGTGAACACCTGTTGGGCTGTTCAGTTTTTGCTAAAGCACATATATGATTTTTGTATCAGCATCTGCCACAGTGTGAACATAATTTTTTTAAGTTAAAATTCCAAATAATAGCATGGCATCTGGCAGTGGTATGTCCTCAGTATTGTTTAGGTAAAAACACAAAATTTAGAGGTAGTTGCAGATTTTTCATAATTTAAGTAACTCAAAGAGATACTGTAACTTGGTTGTGCTTCTACCAAACCATTCTTCAGAAAACAGTTCTCTGAATCTAAATGTTACAATGTTCCTATATGGTTTGAGTTACCACAGCAATATAAATAAATAATAAATAATTTACATTCTCAGTATAATTGTGTTCTTCTAAATAAAAATGCAATAGGATTAAGCAGGAGAGAGATTTTTCATTTTAGTACCAAAACAAACACAAATAGGGATTTGAAACTTTCTAGTTCTACTTTCTTAGTGCATACTAACTACCCTTCTCCCTCAAGACAAACTTACTTTGCTGTCAAAAACATATCAAGATTTTAGAAACTATGACAACTAAAAAATAAAAATGAACAGTCACATCTTAAGTATTTAACAGAAACCTTTTTTCTTTTAAACATGAGAGGTAATCCACATAAGAACCACCTTATTTTAAAGAAAGAGTTCCCTTAAAGTAGGCTGTCTTATGCATTTATGGACAAGCTACAGCATAAGGAGAACAGGAAGGTTTCGTAAAGAGAACTGGGAGAAAGAGGCTCTGTGGTTTAAAATGAATAGAGGGAGGGGAAGGCTAGAGGACACACTGTGCCACCACGAAAGACCACTCAGCGTGCCTTTTCATCAGACAGCCTTCAGAGATGCGGAGACACTGTGTCACTATCTCTGGCTCAAATCACTGTAAACTAGTTACAAGTTGGTGCTGAGAAAGATAAATTGAAAAAGCCCTAGAGATGACAGACTACCTTTTCCTTAGCTATAATCTAATTGACTTATCTTGATCTCACCATAAAATGGAGATAACCCACCTTCTTTTCAAAGTCATTGAATGTATAAAAATAAATATGTATGTTCTGAAATAAATCTAGAGAAATATTTGCCCAAATTTTAACAGTAGTTATCTTTGGCTAATAGATTTATGAATACATATTGTTTTTCTTTATCCTTATCTGTATCTTCTATTTTTTTTACAATTAGAATTGTTATATATGTGATGCATGTAAGTCACTTAGCACAGTGCTGGCATGCATACTGGCTCAAAAATGGCAGCCATCATCATTATTAATATAAAAAATAAAGCAAGACATCATCTGCCCTTTCTTCTTGGTTCAGGATACATAAACGGATGCTTCTCTATGAAGGAAGTCATGAAAATGAAGTTAATTCCACCACACAAAGTCCACAGCAGACATGCCACTCCTGTGCCAAATGAAAGGTCACAGATTAGAGGAATGGGTCTTTAAGTGCTTATGACTTAGTGTCAGAAAGAGGCACCTAGCCATTGGAAAGTTCCGCTCTATGAAGATTTAGCAAAACAAATCAGAATAAAATTTGTCCTGGTCATACAATAAATTAATACATAAAATACCACCTAGCTTCCTAGCTAATGTGAATTATGAGATTGCCTCAAAGAACAAATACCTCCCAACAAGAATGCTCAGATCCAACAAATCAATTAACATTTGGAGTGTGTGTTAATGATAATACAGAATATGAACCTAGCTCAGCTTTACTGTGGTTCTAATGTCTAAGTTATTTTATTTTTGAAGAATCTTAACTAATAATTCACCACAGTCTTCACAACTTGGAAACAAAGACCTTGGAAAAATCACCAAAAATGTTTAACCAAAATTACTATTATAATTGCAGGATATCACAGATAAATGCATTACACTTACCATAGAAGAAACCTACACATTTTCAAGAATGCTTTGAATTCAGCTAAATCTGCTAACAAAATATTGTTACCTAAAATGAGTGTCAACATTCCTCTGATCTCAACTACAGAATCAAGTAACCCCCTAAGGAAAAGAGAATGAAGTTTAATGCTTATAAATAAATAATTCAGGAGAGATTTAAGCTTCAAAGAGGGTTTTTTTGTTGTCTCAACTAGTGCTTCTAGATTTTTAGTAAGACTTTTCCATTCTCTACCTTCTCTTTATGCTTGATATACAATCTAATGCTTCGGAACATTTTCAAAGCTTTGGTAGTTTTAAATATCTTGTAAATCTGATCATCAAACTTCATTTACACTGATTTCATACGGACAAAAAAAACATACTATCCAGGTTCAAGCACAACAGTAAAAATGAGCTATGTAACAGTCTTTTTTGCCACAATATAAGACTCTGCATATTATTTTTAAATGATATTATCTCCCAAAAAGAATGGCACCTTTATTCCCTCCTTCTACACCCTTCCCCCTCAAAAAGAAAAGATGTTAGCTAAACATCTAGATTTTCATACATTGTAAAAAATGAGGCACAGGAGCAAAAATTCTAAGTTAAAAAAGAATATGTAAATAATTTGATGTCAAGCTTATATAACAGTTTCATATGCTGGATCTAGCTGAATACAGTTTTGTGTAAGCAGTAAAGTTAGTGTTGTCTCCTCCTGATGAATACAGAATTTTAAAAATTAAAAAAATAAAGACTTTTTTTAAGGAGACCAAAAATGAGAGGTGGGGTGGGAAGGAAAATAAGGAGTTGAGGACACAAGCATCTAGGATGACTCTCAGTTTCCTTTCTGACAGTTTTTTTTAAAAGTTATTCCTTCTCTACTTTGTGTTGCCTGAGAACCACTATGGTTTTGTAGAGTCTGTGACAGTAATTACATTTAATCACCCACAAGTACACTTGTCTTAAGCCTATAAATACTATGTTAGTAATACTAAACTATCTCCATTGGCTTATTTGTAAAAAGAAAAATATATTATATATTTATATTTTTATAAAGTTAATTAACACTGAGGGCAGAGGAAAGGGGAGAAGCAGATAATCACAGTTTCTCTGGACACAGTAACCAAACTGGGGTCTCACTCAGGCCACCCGGTCAAGCAGTGTCTGAGGAAGAGTCATAGGAGGCAGAGACAACGAAATTGCCGCTGTTGGAGTGGCCAGCCACCGACTGGGCAGCCTGCTGGCTCAGATTGTTACAGATAAGCACCAGCTGGTTGCTCTGGGCCTCCGACAAGGTGCTGCAGCTCTGATACACACTGAAGTTGGTTTTCCTGCCAGGGATGTTGCCCTTCTCGCACATGGTCTTCACCATCTTGGCCAGCTTATTCTTGCCAAGGGCCTGGCAGTTGTACCAATGCAGAGCAGCCAAGTTCACGACTGGCTTGATGGACAAGTAGAACGGGGCGTCCTCATAGCGCATGGCAGGAGGCCGCCGCTGGGCATACTCCTTATAGTCCTGGACAGGGCATGTCTGTGGGGCATGCTGGGTGGCATACACACGGGAGTCCGTCCCCCCTCTCTTGGTTTTGGCATTCAGGTCACCGGTGTCTTGACCCATCCACTCCAAGTACTCTAGCCCTGTTTCTGTTACCCGGAGCCGGATATCACCCCATTTCAAGGTAGAGCCATGGAAGCCTGTGCAGTGCCCGAAAGCTTTTGTGTTGTTGAGCCAGACGAGGTTGAGCAAACCCTCAGGGTTATAGCGGCTTAGCAGTCCCCTTTTTCGCAAGATGAGCTCATCAGCAAAGGTGAGCTTCATAGACTTGTGTGGCTTATTCCCTTTTCCTTTGCAGCGGAGTTCAATTTGTTTCTGTTTCAGGGCCTCTTGGGAGCGCTTGAATTCCTTATCCCTAGTGATACTGTAGCCATACCTGTGTTCTTTCAGGTACCTTTCAAGCCCACACTGGTAATTGGCCAAGCTGTTGGGTTCGTATTCAGACCCATCCTTCTGCCTGGCATCAACAAAGAAAGAGGCAAGATAGGCATCCAACTCCTTGCAAGGGATGACATAAATCTCTCTTGTTTCAGAAGGATACTTGGAGATGAGGAACTCGCGGAAATTGCGGAGAGCAGTCTGTGTGCTCCGGATGGTTTTCTCGTTCTGCTCCCTGCTGAGCTCAGCTGCTCTTTCATCCTGGTCTGCAACAAATTGGGGAGGGGAGGGATAGAGAGGGTGTTGATGAGTTCAAACAACGTACTTTCTACTCTGAAATAAAGTTTCCTTTTATAACGAAAAGGGAAAGAAGGAATCAATTTTACAGAGATCACTGATAAATGTTATTTACATACTTGTCACATGATATTAGCCAACTTCAGTTTCACAGATGACATACTAGACAAGAATATGGGCCATTACAATCAAAATAAGCTTCTCGTGTCATTGGCACATAGTTTAGTGCATGAAGGTTTGTGGAAACAGTGAGGTTAGAGACAGCCTTCATTTTAGGAAAAATGTGGGGCAGAAATGTGCTATTTATGCTACTGTAGTGGGCAAGGGCCCCATTAGAGCTGACAAACTCACTCTGAATCACTTCATGTGCGAAATCGGAGGTTGTACTGGTTCCCTTTTATTGAATTAAACTAAAATATCTGTATTTGTTATTTAACACATCATCAGAAATATGTATTTTAAAAGGACTAAACAAATCTTTTATGACAGTTAATTAGATACTTGCTCTTCTATAGCAATTCCGGTAAATACAGTTTATAAGTACCTAACTGCAGGGCAGTTTGTAGTAAGTCATAAAATATTTTGGAGGATAATGAGGATAAAACTTCATAGCTATAAAGACAGGACAATGAGATTCGAATTAGGCTATTGTAGTCAAGATGTAAAGAAAGGGGTATGTCTCCTGCACACATCATTTTATTTTATTAATTTATTAATTATACTCTGCCATCAAGGACTTGAGGTGCCTCTTTCTGTTAGGGACCATTCATGATTGGGTAATGTTGCTCTAGAGTAGTGGTCCTCACACTTTATTGTACCTCACAATGCCTAATCAAATGCAGATTACTAGCCTAACAAAGGCAAGGCAAACAGGAAAAAATGCAGATTACCAGGTGGCAGGCCTAAGAATCTGCATTTTAACCAGAACCTCCAAGCTCATGATGAGGTTTGAGAGAACACATTTTGAGTGACAAATGTTCTAGAGCCCGTGTCCATTTTTTTTACAATGACTAAGTATAATTATACCATTTAAATGGTTTCATTTCAGTAATATGTAACTTCACTTTGGGATCTTAACATTAATAATAAAAACTTTTTGTCAGAAATCACCAGGATTATGTCAGACATGGTCTGAGTGAAACTCAAAAGAAAAACTCTAAAGATGAAATTACGCAATAGAAAACCAGTCTATCCTATTGATGGGTGAGAGGCAAACACAAAGGTTAATTTAAAACAACATAAAAATGTAATTTCTAATTCTAAAGTATCAGGTAAAAGCATTTTGTTTATCTCAATTATCTTATCTAGGAAAACTTCAGATCAATTTATAAGGTTGCTCAGTGGAGGTCTTTGTAATTACCACACCTAACCATAAAAACAGAATTTCTAACAAACTAAATTTTATTCAAAAAACACACTACTTTTTGTATTACTATACATATTTATGATTAACCATGTCATTTTAAAATGACAATTCTAAGGTATGACTGCCAAAATCTACATAACTTTGTAAAATAACGTGCAAAAATTCACTAGTTACATATTCTTATAGGCATATCTTTGAGAGGTCACATTTCCAAAATTCAAATATATAAAAGCATATTTTATGCTTCAGTAGACTTAACTTTTGGTTATGCTACTTTCTTCCAGTTAAAATTGTTTATATATCAACAATATAGACACTTATCTTTCCATCAAAAACATGGTAGCCACAGGCTGAATGTAACCTTTTACCATATTTACATGCAAAGCCAAAGGGACCAGCACATCTATTTATTTTGGCTACTTGTTTAAATATCTATCACAACAGTCTTCAAACTTCAAACAAAGACTTTCTAAGAAAGAAACATTCACAGACAACTTTCGGGAAAAAATTTCCAGTTTCTCAACTTTCACATGGAATCTTTTCTAAAACTTATTTGTCTGAGATAAACACTGAGGTTTGTATATGTTCCCATCCCAAATTTACTATGGTACATGCTCTGGGGTATAAAAGACTTTGAAGAGCCAAACCTTTATAAGTCAATGATTAAACCCATAGTATTTCCCATCCTTCTCTGTCTTACGCATATTCTGATAAAAGTGAAATCTGCCATTAGAAACATGGTTTGGGGACTGAAATGGGGTGTTCTGAATGCAGGACCTCTGAAGGGGTATTAGGTAAGTGAGTTTGATTCTTTTAACTAGAACTGGAATATTCTTTTTTTTTTTTTTTTTTTTTTTTTAAAAGATGACTGGTAAGGGGATCTTAACCCTTGACTTGGTGTTGTCAGCACCACGCTCAGCCAGTGAGCAAACCGGCCATCCCTATATGGGATCCGAACCCGGGGCCTTGGTGTTATCAGCACCGCACTCTACCGAGTGAGCCACGGGCCGGCCCAGAGATTTAAAATTTTATTCATTTCTCAAGTTCAGTGTGCTTTTATTCATAAAATGCTTAATAACTATTATCAAATCATATAAAATATTGATTCTAGTTACAATAGATCCTCATCTTCATTTCATAAAGTATTTGATATTTTCTACCTCCTTTTTACAAAAATAAACTGAAACATGTTGAAAATCTTCAGATGTCAATTTAAAAGTGAGTGAGTGGTATACAGTCTTTTCAAAGTTCTGTGAAGCGGTGTGAGAAGAAAAACGTTTGAGTTCGGTGATTTTAATTAAGCAGGATTAGTCAGTCTGCTGCAAGTGGAGCTGGTGAGAGGACTATGGCAGGACCTGGAGTGCTGGCAAGGGTGTCACCGTCTGCATTCTCTGGGTGAGGCAGCCACTCTCCCACTTCTGCATCTCCTCTACATTTTTGACAACAGGCTAACATAATTCACTTCTTCAATTAGTCCTCAGCCCCAACTTGTTTTCAAGCCCTTCCCTTCTTTCTACTGGGCCTCACTCTTGGTTAAGAGAGAGCCATTCGATCTGTAGGAAAATAAAATTTTTTTTAAAAATATGTCACACTATCATATCCTTTCCTAACAGTTTAGAAGGCACCACAAGAGGAGGTTGAAAGGAAAAAGACACCCCCATTCGTTTTACATGAATATGGGGGAGGAAATCACTTTAAATTCAAGTAATAGTAATAAGCTTTTCAGTTAATAACAAAATCTAGTAAGACCAGAGAAGATTGATAATAAAACATAGAACTATTACAATTCTCTTGCTTTCAATAATTATAATAAGAACAGAAACTACAGAAAATACCCAGAAATAAATCAAATATAATACCTTTTTTAAAAGAAAAGGAAAAGAACATAAAACATGAGGAAGGCTTCTGGGGTGCTGGATTCACAGATGTATTCAAATTGTGAAAATTAATCACATGCATTTAATGACTGGTCTACTTTATTGTATGTATGTCACACCTAATAAAAAGTTTTTAAAAGAAATGGATGAGAAAGTTTCTAAAACTAGAGATAAATGCAGGAGGAAGCTTTGTTTTGTTTCTTAGCTTTGTCAGAAGTGTGTAATTTTACTTCATCATGCTCTGAGATGTTATTCCTGGTATTTTCTACCTTGGAGAATTTGAGTTTTTTCCACTAGTATTCCAACACAGTGGAGGTCTGAGTACTGTACACGATGCCCATTCTCTGCACATTTCCTCTCCTTGGCTCAATATGTCCATCTATTATATGAGTTTTCCCGATCTTTGTGCATTTTGCCCTCACCTCTGTAACTCAACAGTCTCAATTCTCCTTACTCCCCTTTCTCTTCACATAACTTCACTGTAAAAAACAATTTTTTAACAGTAAAGTCCTATTTTACTGTAATTTATAATTACTTACTAGAAGCTTATCATGTCTTTAAACTATGCTAGTATTTTTATTAGAACTAGTTTGTTTTTGTTAGTTATCTGATTATATTACACAGACTTTGAGTAGTCTACCCCATAGATCTGTTATTTTTTAGTACACCATTTGCAAAATTGTTTTCAGAAATGCATATATTATTTGATAACACTAATACTTGGATGACATAGTTTTGGTTTGTTATCCAATTTGAAAGTTTTGGTTTGTGATCCAATTTGAAAGTCTCCACTGAGTTTATCTCATTCATATTTATTGTCAGACTTAAACATAGTCCTTGTGATCACAGTATATGTCAAGCGCTCTGGTTTTATCATTGCAACAGGGCTCTTGCTCAGCTGCTCTTTCCTGTATGTGCTGGCTTCATCCTTAGGCAAGCAACAACAGCCAGAGGCTAAAAAGGAACCAATCTGTTTCAGTGTCTCCTTTTAGGAGTAAAGAAACTTTCCAGTTTACGTTCTTTTGTTAATTTTTCTAGTGTTATGACTGTTGCTATAATTTTGCATCATATTATAAATCCTCTATTTTTATACAGCCTGTGCTGATACCCCACTATAAGCAATGTCAAAATTAATATACCACATCCTTCCATTTCCTCCTCCAATGAATCATTTTCTATTATATTATTTTTCTTAGTCTTTATAATTGTTGACTTTTAATTCTATTATTTGATTTAGTCTGCTTAGTGTTACCTTTATACCTTCAAATATTTTTATACCCTAATTACTTGAATTATTAGCTTTAAGTATTATCTTTTGAATCAGTCTATGCTATTTCCCATATTCTCTGCTCTGTACTTTTAAAAACTATACATTTCCACATTGTCAAGTTTATAGTAATTACTATAAATATTTACAAAATAATTTATAACATTCCATTTTTAATCATAATTTCCACATTTTGGTCTCAGTCTAACAATTCAATCGATAGAATCGATGCTTACTACCAGTGTTTTGCCAGTCTCCATCTCTCAGTTGACCTAAGTTTGTCCTCTAATAGCTTATTCAAAAAGTATCTATGAAAATTATATTTTCCTGAGATCTTGAATTTGAGAATATCTTTAGCCTTTTATTGCCTTTATAACTGAATAACAGGCTGACTAGGTACAGAATTTTCAACTCCTATTTTTCTCCCTGCTAAACAATAGTGGCATTGTTCAACTATCT